TGTGGGCCCTCAAGCCAGGTCTGCTGGGCCCCCTCAGCCTTTGAGGCCAGCAGAGTGTGGTGGGGAGGGAGGCACTTCTCAGGGGAAACTGGGCAAGTTTCTCCCTCTGGCAGCTCTCCAACTGCTCCATGCCCCCTCCGGGCCTCACTGTGGCCAGACTGCATGACCTGGAGTGTTCCTGAACCTCCTGTGTTGTAGGAGCCTTCAAGGCACTTCTGCAGGACTTGGTGACCCAGAGGATTTCTGTGCCATCTCTCCTGCAGGAAGCCATGAAGCCAGACAGAGACATGGAGCAGAGCCCCCCCAGGGTGCCCAAGCTGGCCTGGGTGAAGAAGGGCGAGGAGGTGGAAAGCCCTGAGCCTGCTCCACAACAGCAGCCTGGGGAAGAGCAGGACCGTGCCCGTGGCCGCTTCCGCAGGGCAGCACAGGTAGCTGCAGCCATCCCCCCCGGGCTGGGCCTGCTGTCCCTGCTCAGCCTGGCACCACTGTCACAGCTCTCCATGGCCCATCCCTCTCTTTCTGCCTCTGTCCCGCAGATGGTTTGTGAATTCACCAGATGCATTTGGAGGGAAGAGACCGTTGCCATGGGCGCTGGGGCCATGGCAAACTCTGCCCTCTACAATGCCAAAACCAGCGCTGCCCTGCTGGATTTGCTGGTGGAGAATGGTGTCTCCAATGCCAAAAAAGTAAGCAGCCTGCGGCCAGGGCTCCAGGCCTGCAGGGATGGTGCGGCCCCTCCCGCCACTTCTGCTGGGCCCCCTCAGCCTTTGGGGCCAGCACAGTGTGGTGGGAAGGGAAGCACTTCTCGGGGCAAGCCGGGCAAGCTGGCAGCTGTGGCAGCTCTGCAACCCTCCCCCGTGGCCCCTCCAGGTGCCGGCCTTGGTGAGGTACATCCACTGGTGGCTCATGTCCAATGTGTGTGCTGAGCACAGAGTAGACAAGAGTCTTCTGCAGCTGGTTGAGGCACAGCCCGTGGATGTGGTGGTGACTCTGCTGCGCTCTGCCCCATCATGTGACAGGTATGGGGCCGTCGAGAGCCTCGAGGGCTCCCCAGCCCGTCCCCCTGAAGAGCCCGTCCCAGGTGTCTGTCAGGCCCAGAGTTGCAGGAGCCCTTGGCTCCTGTGTTTCCCAGCCCTGGCATGCTGGCCACACATCCTGCTCCCGTGTGCCCTCCTTGCTCCTCAGGCTGCTGTGGCTTTGTCACTTGGGACCGGGAACTGCCCAGGCCGTGGCACTGTGGCTGAGAGCCCGCTGACACAGAGCTTTGACCCCGCAGAGCTGCTGTGACCATGTGGAGGACAATCATCTCCTCAAAAAACACTGCAGAGTCGGCACTGAAGATATTTGCCCTTGTCCTGGGAAGCTGGCCAGCCTGCAGCATCTGCACCTCTGATGGGGACGAAAGGGATGTCTTTGCCCTGGCCAACCCCAACAGGTGCTCCATCCCAGGTCCTCCTGTGCCTGCCGTGCCCTCGGGGCTGGGGCCGGGGCTCTCAGCGTGACCCGGGCTTTGCTCTGCACACAGGCTTGCAGTGCTGACCATCAAAGCCCTGCTGAGCCGTCTGCGGTGCGAGACTGTGCTGATGGCCATGGAACGCAAGCGAGGCTGGGACACGCTCCTCCACGCTGACACCCACCACTACGCGGTGGGTCTGCTGGCCAGGTGAGACCCCCTCTTCCCGGCTGCCCCGTCCCTTCTGCCTGTGCACGGGGCACCCCCACAGTGGCCGTGGTCGGGGGCCAGAGGGCCTCGTCAGCGAGGGATGGCTGAGCAGAGTGGGAAAGGCTGGGAGAGGCGGGGGCACAGGAGGAGCCGCCTCCCAGAGTGCATGTGTCCCCTCTTGGGGGAGTGGGCCAAGAGGGCTGGGCCAAGATAGGGCCTCTGTGAGCGAGTCCTGAGAGAGGTTTGCCCAGCCAGCTCAGGGTTGACGGTGCCTGTTTCCCCCTGCCAGGGAGATGGGCTGTGCCTGCACACCCTTGTGTTGCGGCATTGTATGCTGCCTCCTGGAGCTGCTCAGCGAAGAGATGTGCCCCTGGCACCTCCCTGCCATGACGTTCCTTGTGGAGGTGAGCCTGATGGCGAGCGCTGCCTGGCCCAGCTGCCTCCACCTG